GCAGCTATGTGGGTTTGGCCTCCAACAATCCTGCCGATCCGCCTAGAATAGTGGGCAACTACCTGAGTGAGCCGGAGGATGTTAAAATCATCACCTCCGGCATCCGGTTGGTGCAGAAGTTCATCGAGGCGCCCGTTTTGAAGGAGAAATACAACGCCTCCCAGGTTTGGATGGACTATGGAAGCTGTTCCCAACAGTTCGAGTAGGAGGCTTTTTGCGAAACTTCGCCGATTGCTTTGGGCTAAAAATTGCGACATTTCCAGAGTGGATTCGGATGAGTTTTGGGAGTGCGCCATTCGCTACCAAACGCACATTGTGGGACATCAGTGCGCCACTTGCACCATGGGTCCTGATCCAGAATTAGGCGCTTGCGTTAACCAGAACCTCCAGGTCCATGGGGTTGCCAACCTGCGGATAGCTGATGCCTCAGCGATGGTGCCACGCATTTCTGGAAACACTCAGGCTATAGTGGTTGCTATCGCTGAACGCGCCAATCAGTTCATCAGGGAAATGTATCTGGATCAGCAGGTTTAAGCCTAGTTGTTTTCCTGAATTTCCTTCTGCTGTACTAAAATGAGTGTTATGCACATGGAATTTGATTTGCCATCCACAATCCCAACCGATTATAGCATGACAATTTAAATTCAGCTATTTGCATGGTGTCAATCAAGTATCGCAGTTAATGTCCAGTTAAGGAGAGCCAACTGATCACTGTAATTAACGAAAATGTTGGGTTTTGAATGGTCGCATGCTGACCATGCAACTGATCATCTATTTAAGTGCATTTGAACGATCCGAGCGGTTATTACAGTGCAGTGATTGCGCAAGAAGTTTCCATTTAGGCGCTCGATTGAAGAGGTAAGTGAGAGCGGAGTCGCTGCTGGTTGGTTCGGTTGGGGAAATGGGGAGGAAGATTTAGAGGCGCATTTAATGGAGGTTTGGGGTATTTGAAAGTTAGACTAAGAGATGCGGATCGAGAGTTGTTATTGCGCCGATTAAGCTGAACCGAACATGGTCTTTGAACGAGTCGTTTTTTGGCTAAAACTTCATCCAGAGCGTTCCCTAAAAACGTGCAAATGTTTTATTGGTGCGAGGAGCAATGAAACTTTTTGCACTATCAGAGCGTGAAAGGTTTGTTCATAAATCTAGGCCTGAACTGAAATTCCAGCAATGTATTTCCTATCAGCAGATTTATTTACTTCTGCGTTCTAGTGGTTTGAAGAAAAATGCATTTCGTGCTTGCAAGTTCAAACTCAGGTACGATAACCGATAGGGAACTCCACTTAAAAATTCCCATGCTGCCGATACTTAGTGATAATCTTCGTTAGTAGTTCAATTGACGAAAATCAAGTTCAAGTAGTGTCTCAAGAGCAAAGATAACCGCTTAAAAAGCCCCTATTAAAAAAGTTGAGATATATTCCAAGAAGCACAAAGGATCTACTGCCCGCTTGTATACGACATGTTGTACGGCAAGATGCATCTAATCTTAAATGCCTATTCTATCGTAGAAAGTCAGCAGATAAAAGGGTCCAAGTTTTGCCGGTAAAGCCTTTCTTCATATCACTTCCTTCTACCGTTTGGCAAATTTTTTTAGAGTGCCGAGTGAATCAAAATTGTGCCGAGTTCTTGGGGCTTGACACTGAGTACAATGAAGCAAATCGCTGTTAATTAGGAAGTTTTTAGGTTGAAACTAATGGGTTTTTTGGGTTTTTAGGCCGTCGTTCGGTAGTACACTGTTCTCATCAGAACCCGTTCAGTTCTGCGGAAGAACGGGTTCGATCGAAAATCGAAAATTTCCCAATAGAAGGAAGTAACTTGCCCTTTGCAGTGATGCAAAAAAAAGTATTTAGATAGTTTAGTTCTTGAAATAACATTTTGAAGTTTCCACTACTTTGTGTTGCTCAAAACTCTGATATTTTAAGCGACGCGGGTATCAACTTCGAACGCAGCCAGGCACATCCATGGTGCGTCGCTCATAGGCTCCCATGGGTGCGAGTGAGAGAACCGAGGCGAGCTACGTTCTGAAATGAGAATTGGCACAACCAGCCTATTCAGAGAAATTTTCGGTTGGAAGTCAGAATAGTGGCCTGAGTGCAAAATAGTGCAAATGTTGATTTTTACGCATTAAGCTAACGTTCTCATGCTATACT